ACCTGTTTGTCTGCAATCATTTCCCCACAGATAAAGGAACATTTCAGACAATGCAACAATAGCTATTTAAAGTAAATATCATTAGTATTAGGGGTTAAACTATTTATAAACCTAAAAATAAATGGGATGTTTATAGCAGTTAGCAGCAGCAAAAACAATATATACCTATACACACATATTAGACTTTTAGTACTCTAAATATTTCCAAATATATCATTTAATTAACTTTGAATAATTTTCTTTTTTTAGACCAAATATCCTGAATATTTATAGCCTGAGGATGTCAAGTGGGTGTCACAAATCATCATGATTATGAGCATCAATATGTCTTGGAGCAGGAATTTGTACAGGCCTGTGGCACCAAAGTGGATTTTGTAAGAAATATGTTGTCTGGATGTCATGACTTCTTATTCAACTTTCAAATAATTGCAGTAGAATGTACGCATTATAGAACGAACTCAGCCAGAGGCTGAGAAAGTCTCTGCCCTCACCGCGGTGCCTGTACTCCCAGCTGTCCTGCAGATTCCATTTAGTTCAGGTCAAGTTCCTAGGAACATCTTCTGAGACTTGAGTTGCTTGGCATTGAGAAATCTGTCTTGCCCGGACCACTGATTTCTCTTCCATGTCAGAATTTAACATTAAAAATGCATGCATACTCCACAAAAAGCAGAGGAGATATTTTAAATAAATATTTAATCACTATGCCAGTCTTTGGTCTTATTTGCATGCATATTTGAGAATGAGTATTTGAATAACTTTTAAAGTATGTTAGACTATGAGTGGCTTTGCTGCCTCAGACGTATAGATCTAAACTGTACCAAATTTCTGGTTGAAGACTTCAGGAAATATATTACAGCCTGCATTCTATATTTCTGAATTTGATTTAGAATATGTTACAATAACTCCTAAGTAAAAGGAGAGGTTTCTGAACAATCAAATTTTATTTTGTAAGGACCATGAAGAACTGGAGAGGTTTTGTTTTAGTTTTTACATACAAAAGATTAAAAACAAAAGGATCTTTTCTGTATGGAAGTGCAAAGTATCTAAATTCACATCATAGAAGATTCCTATGATGAAGTCAGAGCTGAAAATATAGTTGCTAAGGAAAAAATAAACATCTAAATCACTTTGTGATTGAAGATGGGCTAGCTGCCATAGGAGTAATTTCTTAAGATGATTATATAGCGGTCCTATCTTCCTCTTTGGCCTTCAGAGGGAAACCAAGAATGAAATATGTTCTAATCTTCTAATTTTTATTGAGTATAACATGCCAAAATTATAATTATGGTGGAAGAAACATAAAAACAACAGCTAAGTATCAAATCAACAGTGTCTCTTTGAAAAGTACTGACCGGAGGCTATGACTTCAACAGGGAAAAGCAGAGATGGGAGAGCTTTTGAGGGAAAATGAGATAATTTTTATTACCTCTACCTTCCCAGAAGCTCTTTATGAGAATTTCATTCCAAAGAGAATATATAGAAACCAATAAGACTACAATCTTATAGAAATATTTTTAACACTACCCAGTAAAATGTCTACAAGTCCAAAAAGCAATTTGTCTTAGACAAAATATGATAATATGCAAATGCTTAATGAAATTTATAGCATCAGTCAATATACATGAGTTAGTCAGGGAGGAGAAATAACAGCATTCCTCCTGGCAAGAGGAATTAACTAAGATGATTTAACTCAAGTCCTGCAGTCTGAGGAGATGGCTAATGTTTAAACAGGACTTTTCTCAAGAGCTAAAAGCATTAGGGTGTACCGTACTATATGGTGGAATATTTAGTCCTTGTTATCTATAGTCATTTTCATAATTTGTATATATCAATAGATGGTTAAACATAATCTATTCAAACAGAATGCTGATAGTTTAACTGGGCTAAAGCAATTTCTTAGTTTTGTCAATTAAGCACCAACTGTATAATTGGATCTACCCCTGAAGCAGCAGGAAAGCAGCAGAATGTAAGAGCAGACCAGGGCAGAGCAGGTACTGTTGTGGAGCGGGGTGGAGGGTGGTAGAGCAGAATACAGGCATCTACTTCAACACAGGCCAAATCAGCCCTAGTGTTTGTGGAGTCTAAGGCAAGAGTACAAATAGGGCCACATATTCATTATACCTAAATATTTAAAAGTTATATTTTTCATAGTTGTCAAAATATTTTATCATTTACAACTAAACCATAAACTAAAAAATGCTTAAATCTATGTTTTTTGCATGACTAAATCAGCCAAATACCAGAGATAGCTAAATGTAATGATTAATGCATATGGTTGGATATTCTGTTGATTGGCTGACACTTTCTGGGTAAATGCAAAGGAAACACATGTGACTCATTAATTATTTTATATGTATTCTATAAATTCATTTGGATCTTTGTTTCAGAAAAATCATGAATTGTGTGATTATAAACAAGGTTTTCATGTAGTTTGTGTTCTAATGACATCTAAAGATATAAAGAACTAACATAATAACATTTCATTATTTTCATGATATTTGAATTATTTTCATCAGGGAGTATGTTATACATTTAAGCAAATGGAAAAATTAAATTAAAACAAATTGTCTTTTGTTTATGTTTCAGAAAGTTTGTTTTTCTCTAAAATACTCAGTATTATCTACCAAAATAGTGGGCAGAATATAAATTATACTGAATGAATATTATAACTTTAAGTCTAGGTTTTATATACAGCTGGATTATTAAATTTAATTTTTAAAAATTCACTTGAGTCTCACTAAATTATTTTACAAAATTAAAACTATTCATAACTATAACACTCAGTAGTAGCCCAGATAGCCACATAGAGAATAACCTTATTTGTCACATAAAACTACTGCAAATATCATGCTTCCCCATGTATACTCCCCATACTATGAGTTGGAACCTGAGAAATCTTTTTGGATAAGAATTTATTGTTGTCATGCCATCCGAGAGAAGAATTTGATAAGTTCCTCTGTGTTTTTCTGTTGCTGAGGTGCTTCAGATGATTACATCTTCCCTGAACTCTGAGTCAGCGTCTGTCCAGCAGCCCTCAATCATGGCTTCGGATAAAGCATGCAGAGGAAAAGCATTTTCCTAGGCTCTAAGCAGCATGCAGCCCAGAGAGTGGATGTTCAGCTTATAGGTTGTGTTATGCCAGAAACAGAGGAACCCATGTGTTCTTTAACAATTTTATTTTTGTGTCTCTGTGACATATGTCCTGACGAAGTACTAGGCAAGGCTCACTGTTGCCCAGGCTGAATTCAGGATGACACTGATTGACAGGACCTGAAGTCAGACTGCCCGCATTCACTAGAGGGACACACCACTTTTCTTACGTGCCTCTGCGGATCCTTCCAGCCGTACATTCTCCAGGGCCCTTGGCTGCCATCCCAGCCATCCCATGCCACATGAGCAGCCATTGCTGCTCCAGTGTTCCGTGCATGGGCTCCAAACGGCTTCAGAGGGAAGCAAATCAGCTCCACCCTGCGCCATTCCCCTGCAGTGTCTTCCGTGCCTCTACTATGCATCTGTTGATGAAAGGCCATAAAATTCCAGGGGATCATTTTGACTACTGTGCTTTTGCAATCCAGAAGTAAATGTCAGAAAAACTTTTAACCAATGGGACACACAAACCTGTGGATAATCCTTCCTCTGTCTCTTCTTCAATAAATAATCCTGAGATGCATTCATTATAAGGTCTGCCAGAAGATGACCCTGAGAGAGCCAGAACACTTGAACTTGACACCAAGGCTTGATCAACTCAATAATGCTACCTTACCCTCTCCTTCCGGGTCTCTGTCCCTTTTCCCTAACTCCTGCTTCCTTGCTTTTGCATTCCTTAATAAAACTTGACCACATGCCCCTTTCTTTCAGATTCTGCTTTTACAGAAACCCAGGCTAAGAAAATATATGATCTTATGTAAATAAACTTCTGTGTCTCATTTTCCGGTTATGGAAATAGGTAATGATAGTATCAATCTCTTGGAATTATTGCACTGACCAAATGCATTCATGCATAAAAAAAACACTTAGAACATTTCCTGACACACTTTTGCAGAAAGCAGAACCTGAGATGAAATTTTACGTGTCAATTATTTTTACATCTCCTTTTCCCAGTTTTGAATTTTTCAAATGGAAGGTGATGTTTTGGTTCCACGACTATGTTTCCATTCATCTACATGTGTTGAGCATAACCCTTGGACCAGTCACTGTACTATATACCAGAGATTTAGATAAAGAGCATTATTCTTCCATAAAACAAGCTCAGAGCCTTCTGGGGAAGGCACAGAAATTTAACACAATAAATACACAGTCATAAATAATGACAGAGATGTTCACTCCACTGTGAAACAGGAAGCAGTTACCTGAAACAAGCAGCTTGAAAGCTCATTGTAGATGAAACCATAGCTGAGCCAAATTGTGAAGGGCACAGGGCAGTTAACTGGGATAAATTAAACACTGAGATCATTTCAGAGAGAAAGCAATGAAAGCCCAAGCATTCACACAGAAGCGTACACTTAGATATTATAAGCAGTTCTACATTTTTATATTTAAATCTCAAAGTGCGAAGAAGGAAGATACCACTGAAAAGTAGCAAGGGCAATATCGTGAGCAGTTATGCATAATATCTTAAGATGTTAGTTTTTATCCTGAAGGCATTCAGGAGCCATAGGAAGAGTGTGGGCAGAAGTGATAGACTTACAGAAAAAACCACTCTGTGATGGTAGAATAATGGAGGGGGCATCAGAGAAGGTTGAATTCAGTAACTCATACTAAAAACATGACCTGAACCCAAGGAGGGGTAAAGATGATCAGGATGGAGAGGAAGGAGTGAAACAGACATATAGGTAAACAAATAAATGTATGACTGAAGATAGGGAGATAGATAATTAAATATTTACAGTAGGCATTATAGATAAGTATATATGTATATGTAAATATATATACAAATACCATATGACCTCACCATATATATACTTATATATATATTTATATAGATGTGTATAGCGACTTACAGAGTGGTGGATTAAGAGAGAGATTTCCACAACATTCTCAGATCTTGGCTCAGAAGTGATGGAAGATGGTATGAAAAACCAATATAAGGCACATCAGAGGAGGAGTTCTTAGTGATGGAGATTGAAGCGTGTATGACAAGTCCAGTTTTGAACATTTCAAAAGTGAGAGGTCTGTGTGACAATCAAAAGCAGATACCCAGCATTCTGGAGCAATGCAGGTGAGCGGTTGCACTGAGTTTCTGGTGGGAGAAAGCAGGAAAGAAGAGAGTTTAAAAATGTCAAGTGCTTTGAAGAAAATGTGTTCTTTTGAAAATCTTCTTATAAACTTTAGTATTGCTATATAACTAAATAGAAATAAATACTAAATACTTAGTTTTTTGACTATATACTCAGCTAAGAAATTCAAGTTTGCTTTGTTTTCATTAATTTTTCTAACATTCATCAAAGTTAGAAAAGGGGAATAATTACAAAATCTCAGTAAACAATTATCTGGATTATACACAGCAAAAATATAACAGTTGACAGTTTCCATATATTTGGGGCACTGTGGAAAACAGTATGGAATTTCCTAAAAAAAACCACACCTAAAGATGGAGCTGGCTTTCTAGCCAGCAATCCCGCTGCTAGGACTATACCCTAAGAACCCTGAAACACCAATCCAAAAGAACCTATGTGCCTCAGTGTTCATGACAGCATTTTTTAAAATAGCCAAGTTCTGGTACGCCCATCAGTAAATAAGTGGATCAAAAACTGTGGTACATTTACACAATGAAATGCTACACAGCAGAAAGAAAGAACTACCCTTCACCGCAGCATGGATGGAAATGGAGAGCGTTATGTTTGTTAATCAGGGGTGTCAAACTCATTTTCACCAGGTGCCACATCAGCCTTGTAGTTGATTTCAAAAGGCTGAGTGTAATTTTAGGACTGTATAAATGTACTCCTTAACAGTTAAGCAAGAGCTCGGCGCTGCCGCCGGGTAGAAGCAAGGTGCTGGTCCAGATAAAAGAAGGGGGAGGACCCGATTTGGCCCTCGGGCCTTGTGTTTGCCACCTGTGTGCTAAGTGACATAAGCCAGGCGGTGAAAGACAAATACCATATGATCTCACCTATAAATAGAACCTAATCAACAAAACAAACAAGCAAGCAAAATAGAACCAGAGACTTGGAAATAAGAACAAATGGACAGTGACCTGAAGGGAGGGAGGAGAGGAGTAATGGGGGGAAAGAAGGGGAAGGGACAAGCAAGGGAACATGAATGGAGGACTCAGGGGCATGGACAAGGGGGGACTGACTGTAGGAGTGAGGGGGTGGGGGTGAACAATGGGGAAAAAGGAGGGACAACTGTAACTGAACAACAACAAATAAAAATATGTTAATGTTAGATATCATATATGATAAATATGTTAAAATAATTGGAGATAGATAATGTTCTGGTAGATGCTACTACATAGATCCTTCAGGAAAGGCCTCCTAGGAAGTGATATTTAGGCTGAAATCCAGGAAAGGAGCCAGTCACGAAAGGGCAAGGGAACGTTGTACGGAGAGAATAGTGTTGTACAGACTATTGAGCTGAAAAATCTCTACAAACCATACTATTCTATAAAAATCATCCCTCCCACAAGTAAATGCTTAGCTATCAAATTATTTTAGTAACATGGCTTCTAGAAACTGAAGCATGGTGCTTGAAAATAAAATTGGCTTCTTAATCACTAAAGTATTAAACACTTGGGCAAAGACCAACTTAGAACTGAATTCCATACTTTGGTTAACTATGAAAATGTCCGAGTTTCGTAGACTGTGACATGGAAGTCATCCATGGGCCTCATAGACTAACTTGTGGTGTCTATGGGTACTGAACTATCTCAACAGAGTAGGGGAATACAAATTTAATATATTTAAGACATACAGTTTTATATCTGAGAGGATATGCCACAGATTTCATTTAACCTGTATCAAAACCAGAGAATTATCAAATAATAAAACTCTATGCCCTGTATAAATTCTGACTCATACACATGCAGTATAAAAATTAAATCTATTACAGCCACAAGTTTATGGCAGACAAATGAAGTGGCTATTTGAAAATGTGAATTTTCAGGGCTGCCATTTTCTTTGGCAGGGATGGGATTGCTTCTAAAATAAACCCCAGTGAACAATCTTCCCCATTAATTACATGTGTAACCACCAGCTGTTAGTCCAAATTAAGGTCTATTATTTATCAGTTTTCCATGCCCCGATCCCATAATCACCAAAATAAGTGGAAATAATTTAAAAAGGATAATAGTAGGAAGATCCTCATATACAAAAACTATGAACATAACTCCAAATAGCGGTACAGTGTAAGCTACACTCTTCTAACACCTACTCAGTTTGGCAGCTAAGACATTAAAATGCATGTAACACAATATCCAGCACATTGTGGGTTTTGTTGAATGGACTAGTAACATGAAAACACACACTGGTTTTTTTAAGTATATTTTATTTTAAGTATATAAATGAGAAAAACTTTTATTTTATTTTTTAAAATATTTTATTTATTCAATTTTTTAGAAAGTGGATGGAGCTAGAGTGAGAGAGAGAGAAACACTGATGTGTGAGAGAAACATTTTCTTTTTTTTTCCTCAAAGATTTTATTTATTTATTTTTAGAGAGGGAAGGGAGAGAGAAAGAGAGAGAGAGAAACATCAATGTGCGGTTGCTGGGGGTCATGGCCTGCAACCCAGGCATATGCCCTGACTGGGAATTGAACCTGTGACACTGGTTCGCAGCCCGCGCTCAATTCACTGAGCTACGCCAGCCAGGGTGAAAAACTTTTATTTTAAGTATATTTCATTAAGTTATTACAATTGTCCCATTTTTTTCTCCCCCTTATCCCTCTCCACCCTGCACCCTTTCTCCCTCCAGCATTCCCCTCCCACCTTAGGTCATGTCCGTGGGTCATACATGTAAGTTCTTTGGCTTCTCCATTTTCTGTTTAACCTCCTCCTGTCTACCTTATGCCTGCCATCTATGCTTCTTATTCCCTGTATCTTTCCACCCCTCCCCTCTATCAGGTGATTTCTCAAAAGAAACTTTACAGGCAAGAAAGGGCTGGAAAAAAGTATTCAAAGTCATGAAAGGCAAGGATCTACATCTAAGATTACTCTATCTGGCAAAGCTGTCATTTAGAATGGAAGAGCAGATAAAGTGCTTCCCAGATAAGGTCAAGTTAAAGGAGTTCATCATCACTAAGCTCTTATTATATGAAATGTGAAAGGGACTTATCTAAGATAAAGAAGATGATCAAAACTATGAACAGTAAAATGACAACAAACTCACAACTAGCAACAACTGAACCTAAAAAAACAAAAACAAACACAAACTAATCAAACAACTAGAACAGGAACAGAATCACAGAAAAGAGCTTTTAATCTAATGAACTGCATTTGAAATTCTTGGGACCAATTCCTATAAACTTAACGAAAGATGGTCTAGTCTTTTAATAACTCATCAATCACAGACATGTTTAGAAGAAAAGCCAGTATACTTACATAGATATTGACCATTACAAAGTTATAGATAATGAAAATCACTTAATCTGTGTCTTAGGTTTATTTTAGTGTGAGAGCTAGCTGTAATATATATTACTAGTGTACTGTAAAAAAATCTTGATCCCCAAACATACATCTATCCCCGCTCACAAAAGTAGCTTTGAGTTTTTATACATTTTGTTACTATTTTTTTTTTGCTTAAAAATGACTTGTATGGCCTGTAATAACTTCAGATCAGATTCTCATTCTTGCCAATTCCCAGTTTTGTTTTGTTTTTTTGAGTCTTAACCCTCCTGGGTTAAGCCTTTCCTTCCAAATTCTTCCCAGCAACCTTCCATCCTTTTCTCAACCTCAGATTTTGTCATGGTTTTAGCTAATACTGGTTTGTACACACCAGACACTGTTCTTTATATACCTTGAGTTACATGTATATGACCAATATTAATTCATTTAACCCTCATTTAGATTATAAAAAGTGAATGCATTATTATCATCCCTATTTTATAGATGAGAAAAGGAAGAAATAAGTAAGGGTTACAAATTGGAAGTGGATGGTAAAAAAAAAAATTGAAAAGAGGCAAATGGTTCCTGAGTCCTGCTCTTGGCTCCTACATTCTACTAGTCTACGGTTTCTTTCTGACCCTTGTGTTTGCATATGGCACTGCAATATTATCTTTTACATCATGATTTCCTCTATTATATGAGGGGTTCATAACAAAAGTTACATGTTTTAATTCCTTGTCTTCAGAGGCAACTATGATATCTAGTACTGTATAGGCATGGAAAAATATACGTTGAATAAATGAATTCATAACTGACTGGAATAGGCACTCCTATCAAAGATACCTAGTTCTAAGCTTTCTTTTTTTAAAAGAGCTTTTATTTGTTTATTTTTAGAGAGAGGGGAAGGGAGGGAGAAAGAGAAAAAGACAAGCATCAGTGTGTGGTTGCCACTCATGCACCCCTTTCTGGGGACCTGGCCCACAACCCAGGCATGTGCCCCGCCTGGGAATCGAACCACCCACCCTTTGGTTCACAGGCCCATGTTCAATACACTGAGCTACACCAGGCAGGGCTAGTTCTAAGCTTTCAATAAAGAATCAAAATTTACCTACCTGATTGTACCATCAAGATAAAGCATTGATTCTTGAAACTTTTCAAAATTTGTATCATATAGTGACTTACTAATGGTCAACTTTCTATGAAAGTAATAAAATGAAACAGGAAAAAGTCCCTTTGCTACATAAGCACTATTTCCTATTCCTTCAAATATCAGAAAATAATTTTTTGAGTTATATTTTCAATCTGGCACAAACTCTAACTCTTTTTTTCCCCTTAAACTCACCATTAGTCTAAGCACTGCTCAAGAAAAGTCACTCTATTTCTAGATACTACAAGCCTGATCAGTTTTTTTCTTTTCTGCCATTGTCATTTTCTCAGGAGGTTACAGCCAGCATTTTGCAGCATTCAGCTGTGATGTAAGTTGTCTGCTTCCCAAACTAGTTGTTCTCACTCTCTTAACCATGGCCTATTTCCTTGGTTTTTCACTATCTTTGATGCCATAAGCATAACCTGTTCAGATAAACTGAGCATGTTCTCAACCCTCAGTTGCTTACCGTATGAGTACTTTGGAAAAAAGCAGAAACTGAACTGGAGAGGATACCATACACTCCAGGAGAGTGTGGTCATGTGACATCAGATTTTTG